CCCCCGAAGAGACTTTGTGAGTCTGTAATCCAAATGATTCCAGACTGTTTATACTGCTAGCATGCATAGTGTTAAATGTCCACAATGCAACTCTTCAGTACAGACACTACATTCCCCTGCCATCCTCAGTAAGGACAACACAGCGATTGCAGACAGAATCTTAGCTAACACTGAAAGAATACGTCTATGTCGTGGGACTCATACCGAGTCAGCATTATAAATGCTCCTTGGTTATTTGGGTTCTTAAATCCTCCTGCCAGTATGCTTAGAACAGATTACCTCAAATAGAAAGGCAGTATTTCTCCTGAGAAATGTGACATTCCAGAACTTAAAAAGAGGCTGGCTAGCACCGATGCTGACTTCAGAGGCCTGCTTTGCCATTTATTAACATTAGCTAGAGAGCTGATCTTGGCTGCCGACTCACGCATCCAGGAAGAGGGAACCGCAACTGCAGTATCCTCCATCAGACTGGACTGTGGGTGTGCATGTCTGCAAGGCGGTATCCTCCACCAGACTGGACTGTGGGCATGCATGTCTGCAAGGCGGAATCTCCCATCAGACTGGACTGTGGGCGTGCATGTCTGCAAGGCATCTTCTTAATTGCTAACTGATAAAGGAGGGCCCAGCCCACGGTGAGTGGTGTCATCCCTAGGCCTGCCGAAAATTCACTGAGGAAGTCAAGAAGAACAGGCCAGTAAGCCGAGTTCCTCCATGATATCTGCTTCAAACTCCTTTCGTGGTTTCCCTCTGTGATGAACTGTAAGACGAAATAAGCCCTTTCCTTCCCAGGTTGCCTTTGGGCATGTGCTTATCACAGCACTGGAGCCTCGGTGGGTTACCTAAGCTTCATCTTCTTTATCTGCAAAGCAGAGGGCACACACTTTGGAGGGTCTTGATGAGCTCTTAAATTTGTATTGTGAGTGTGTGTGTGCAAGCACATGCGAGACGGTGAGACAGGAAGAGAGAGAGGACACAGAAGAGGTGTATGTGCAAGAGAGAGAAACAAAATGTGCAGGCAAACGCACACCATGGTGCACCTGTGGAGGTCAGAGGACAAAATTCAGGAGCTTTTTTAATTAAATGCATGGGCACATGAGTACAGGTGCCTGCAGATGCCAGACGCATTGAATTCGCCTGCAGGTGGCGTTAGAGTCACACGTGATTGGGAGCCAGTCCCGTGAGTGCTCTTTCAGATCTGCTGAAAGGCAGCAAGCGCTCTGACCACTGTGCCACCCCTCCAGTCCCTTGGGACGTTTCTCATTCCCGAACTGGACTTTGTCTTTGTAGGTTTGCTCTGTAACCAGTTTTCCTGGCATTGCTGGGCATTCTCAGTCTCTTTCTGACAGATGAGCACACATTGAGGAGGGGAGGCAGCTGATGCAGCGGGTGAAAACAATGGATGAGCGAGCCTGGGGGCCTGAGCTGGATCCCTGCAACCCATGGGAAAAGCCAATATGGGAGTGCATTTGTGGTCCCAGCACTCCTGCGGCAACACAGGGCACAGAGAGACAAGAACTGGACAGACCCTCAAGGGTCAGCTGGTCTGGAGTAAGCCACACAATGGCAGACAGGAGAAAGCCAATGAAACAGTGGGAGATAGAGAGTCAGCTTGCACACACAGGCAGACACACACACACACACACACACACACACACACACACACACACACACGGCGAGGGCAGGCGAGGGCAGGCGAGCAGGCAGACAAACCACTTATAAAAAGAAAATGGCTAGGACACTATGAACTCACAAGCAGAACACCTGCCTACCGTGTGCAAATCCCTGGTTTTAATCTCTAGTACCCTCCACCAAATAAAATTATATTAAAATAGACAGGAAAAGAGAGAAAGGCATGCATTCCTCTTGAGGAAAAGATAATATTGCTCACTTAAATGAAACAAGACACTCATCAGAAGTCCTAACATCTACATTAGTAATCAGTACTCCAAAGTTAGACAAATGCAGAGAGGGGCAGGCGACCACAGTATGAATGGAACACAAGACTTTACGGCTCATGCAGCAGTCCCTGGGGCAGCTCAACCTACTCACGATTTCAGAAATGAGGCATCCTTCAAGCAAATCTGAAAAAGTAAGGACGAGAAGTTAACAAATCCCAGTGCCTACAAGCTACTTCCTGTGGTTAATGTCTCTGATTGCAGCGGTTGGTCCTGCCTTTGCTTCACCGCCTCAGACACAAAGCTCTGAGCCTCCTAAGTCCAAACGAAAGGGAGTCTGGCTAAGGGGAAGGTCTTGCTTACAGGACCCCCAGCAGAGAGGCCTGTGGGCAGGTCTGTGGGGCGGCTCCTTGATTGATGATTGATGGGGATGAGGCTAGCTCACGGTGGGTAGAGCCATCCCTGGGCTGGTGGTCCTGGGTTCTGAGCAAGCCAGAAAGCAGAGCTCTCCACAGCCTCTACATCAGCTCCTGCCTTGAGTTCCTGCCCTGACTTTCCTCAGTGATGGACCATTACCTGGAAGGGTAAGAAGAAATAATCCCTTTCCTCCCCATGCTGCTTTGGTCATGGTGTTGATCACAGCAAGGGAAACCCTCACTAAGACATTAAGTGTCCTCCATTCCTGTGCTCCAGTTACCAAAAGAGAACTCCTTTCCCTTTACCACTTCTGTTCATCAACCAAGAGGCAGCTCAGGCATCACTTCCGAGACCCCTCCCCATGAAGCAGCAGGAAGGAGAGAGAAGGAAACTAACCCACAATCCTTTACTTCTACGGTCACAAAGCCTCTCAGAGGATGTGATGGAGAGTCACTTCCCTCCCTCCAGACCCCCAAAAGTACGCTCTGTTTAAACAGAACTGTAGTGGCTTTAACAACTTCTTCGGCCCAGGTCAGGAATTCTTGCTAGAGAAGCAGACGGTTACCTCATAGGTAGTCAGCAGCACGTGAAATCGAGACTCCTGTCGTAGGTCTTGCTGAAGGTGGGCTCTTTCCTCCTTGTCACCCACGTATGTCACACAGGACAGACCTGGAGCAAATCTGGGGCAAAGAAAAGAGATGAACAGAGCAAATGCTAGAGCCAGCAAATGCTAGAGCCACTGGACAGTGCAGGTTTCCTGGAAAACCACACATCACAAGATAGTGCCAAGCACAGACCCTTGGAGGCCATGCACCAGAGAGCCCTGGGGACTCCAAATCACACCTAGTCACAGCTAAGCCTCAGGAAAGGCCCTGACAGAAATGTTCACACATTAGAGTGAAATCAAAAGGCCTTGTGTTGACTTTGAAAAAGAAACTTCCCACATCAGCCACCTCCAACATCAATATGGAAAGGACGACTCCCCTTCAGTTCACCAAACGTCACTAAAAATGAGCACCAACCTTTAAACTGTCAAACAGTAGCGGTAACACCTGGACCCTCCCGTGCTGGGTGCCCAGTGTCTACCTACCTTGCTTCAATTCAGGCCTTTCTAGAATAAACTCATTAATTGTGTAAGACACTGTTATTCTATCAAATTTTCTTAAGCAATGCAAAGAATAAAATTTCATCTAATTTACTCTGTACCTCTCCAGCTCTTCTTTCCAGTTGCTCAAAACGGACAAGGGACAAAGAATCAGAAACGGCCCTTCGTCGTTCAATCTTCCCACCAAGTAAACGAGGAAAGCGATAGTCTGGAACACAGCAAAGGACGTCTGTTCTGATCCATTTCCTCATGAAAGATAACCACGCATGCATGCAAACACATCTACATGCAACTTGTTTTACAATCAAATTGTGTACAACCTTTTCTACGTTAAGGAGTATGCTTCTCCTTGGGAGAATCAAGGAAGCCTCAGGAAACCTGCCAAGGGGATTTTAGGCACTGAGTTACTTAAGTAGTTAGTAAGCCATAAGGATCAGTATTTATGTGACTGAACCTCTAATGCAAAGAAAAAAGCCAGGGAAGAATAGAAATCAAGGGAAACAAGGCTCCTGGTGGACAAGGTCAGCCCAGCAACCCTCTAAAATAAAATACCAGTAGTACCAGGACATGACTGTAAGAATGGCCACATGTAGTGACTGTCTGTGCTGGCTGGGCTCACCTGACGAGAATGGATCCTCCTTCCTAAGCCCCTCCCCTCTTTCTCCACACCTTCCCTCCCTTCTACTTGTACTTGAAGTCTGTTCTTTTGGCTGGACATCCTCTGAGGCCCAGTTTATAACAGCAGACAAACATGCTTTCCTGGAACACACATTATAATAGGGAAATCCCAATAAATTACGGATAAAATGTAAGTCTCTGTAAGCCCAAAGACTTCCTTCAGGACACATCTGTATACACTGCTGAAAGATGTTACATTGCACGGTAAAAATAAAGACACGAGGAGATGCTGTGTCCAAATGCGGAGGTATTTCTATGGGGGTGAAGGAAGGACAGTCATAAACATAAATCAAAACCCTGAGAAAGCGACATGCCAAAATATTTTATCAAGATTAATTTACAAAAGCACAAGAAGGGTCTTTCACCTATAAAACATTTAAGGTGGGATAGTTGCAAAACACAAAATGCAAAGTTACAATGGCAATATCAAACTGACAAAATTCAGACTGTCTGCAACGCATGCGCACTGCTGTTTATGACTATGGCCAGAAAGCCCTGAAGAGAGACAACTGGCAGCTGGTTTTTAAAATAGATGGTTTATAGTAGAAATAACTCCCTGCTAAAATTATTTGTGCAACTGGACCTCCTAGCACACACTGCACAGGGCAAACATCTCTGGGTGACTCGGCTTCATCACAGCTGCTTCCTTCAGCCGCCCTCAAGATGCCACTTGAGAAAGTTCATGTCTATTGCCACACAGCAGAGAGGGCATCAAAACGTCTGGAGCCCCAGCTGGGTTCTGAGAAGCACTAAATGAAGAAAGAGCACGAGTTCTACATAAATCCTTCCAGAAAACTGAACACACCCTGACTCATTCTGTGAGGTTGGCACTAACCCTGTGTGAACACCACACAGAAATACGACGAGGGCACGCCAGACCATATCGTCTTGATGATGTAGACGCATAAATTCTAAACAAACCTTTACCAAACCAGATTTGGAGGTGGCACATTTGGGGGAAGCTAAAGACTGAAAGGCAGAGACAAGTAGGGTTCACTCTGAGTGAGGTCAAGAGGACAATGGCCGAGACAGAGGTAGCACGGAGGTCCTGCACTGATGCAGGAGTCTATTAAGTTTGGGTCCTAACGGCAGCCAGGGTACCCTCTCCAGAGGTCACGCTGCTCTCGGAGTAACACCTGGATGGATGAGCGAAGTGTGCCTGCTCAAGTGAAGCAGTCTCCAACCTAAGACCAGGCTGGCCTCTGCACAGCTTCAGACCGAGGTTGGTACAAACAGCGTGAGTCTTGGAAGGGGGCAGTTAGCTTCTGTTCCCTGCGGTCACTTGTGAAGCCTCTCCCGACTTGGAAATGCCTATCACTGTGGTTTGTATACTGTGTATACTGACTACGTTGACTTTAATATTCTATAGATTAGTAAACCTGTATGATTAACCATGAGACATGATGTAACTGGACTCCCTATCAACCCAAACCCACAGATGACATGTCAACCCATGGCGGTTTTGCTGATCATCCAGACAGAAGTGTCAATATCAATACTCCAGCTGCCTAACAATGCCCCACCATTCTGACTCTCCAGGTCTCGATCAGTTGGCTGAGTGAATCTGAAACCACAGGTCCTACATTCACCCTATGCTATCCCGACAGAGACCCAGAAAGCAGGTACCACATAAAGTACTAAGGAAGTCGAAATCAACTTGACGCCAGGGCAGGCAAATTTCTTTTCTATGGAGAAAAGCCCTGAACCAGGCCCTTTAACTGTTCTCCTAATTAAATCATGCCTTCTCCCAGACACGTTTAAAAAAAAAAAATAAGTAAGTAAAACAACAACACAGGCCAAACAATGGTGGCGGCACAATTTTTAAAAACCAGAAATAGAAAAGGCAACTCTCATCATGTTGCTTTATGTACTTCACACCCTGGTCAGACACACATGCTGCGATGAGCGGGTGAAGACAGCCATGAATGGCGTAGAGGTGAACTCTGCTCCCCTCACGGTGGCGTACCTGGCAGGTCTTCCCCAGGCCCATCTCGTCTCCCAGGATACAGCCATTTTGGCACTGGAAGCACTGGGCTAGCCAATTGACTCCCTCCAGTTGATAAGAGCGCAGATGAATCCCTAGAAAAGAAAGACAGAAACGGTCCAAGGAACAAAACTTGCAGCAGGTTCCAGGTTCTAAGACGGCCTCACCTCCACACTCCAAACCCGACCAGTAAGCACTGGCTCACTTCCCAGCTACTTTTGATGCAGACTCGCGGCCAGCTATCATTTGTTCAAACTCCTAAAGCACGATGTCATTGTCACCTGATCCACCTGACAGATGTCTTCTGAGTTTCTGACCTCTGTTGCCGGAGTCTCCCACCGCTATTCACTCCTGGGAGTGAGCATTACTAAAGCAACTGATTGACAGCCGGCACACGGACCGTGCATGCTAAGGAAAGATGCGGTCAGGACAACTTTAGACCATGCTTCAACATGGAACAGTGCTTCAGAAGGAGTATCCATGTGTCCTCCATGGCCCATGTATTTGAACACTTGGTCCCCAGCAAGAGATACTGTTTGGATAGTGTTAGGTCTCAAACCTGGGACAAAGGGCTTTAACACATGGAAGCAGACTCTGGTGACAACTTCTCCCTGCGATCCTCAGTCCCTACTGTTACAGGGTCCTCCTGGCTGGCATACTCCACCCCTACACTAAATTTCTCCAGCCCAGGGGCTCAGCTGCCCTTCCCCCAGCCACCCTTTCCTATATTGTCCAGCCATTTGGTTTACCTGGTCGTTTCATTTACTCTCGTGACCTGTCTCTTGGCCCCAGCTGCCCCTCTAGGTCGACAACTGCTCTCATCTCCCCGTTAATCTCAAAGACGGGAGGAGAAAGGACCACTGATCCAAATCATCATGGCCAAATTATTTAAAGCAAGCGATTAATTAAAGCAATCTTTTTAATTGTGTACACGAGCTGCCTCCCCTACATTGGGGTTCATTGGATGTGAGGAAGGTTTTTATAGCTCAGGGGTAGGGGGTTCCCAAATGGGGGGCTGAGTGGGCAAAATAGGTGGGTTACAGGAGCAGAACATAAGCAGGGGGGATGCCCCTTTAAGGAAGCAAGCTGGAGGGGAAACAAACCACTGCCTGGGGCACATATCAAGGCATGCCACTCCAAGCTGTCCTGTGGCTATCCTGTGCCAAATCACATGCTTGCCTTCCTACAGCTAGGTCATAACAAAACCATAGGAATCGGGAAATACATTCTGTTTTCTAAACTTTATGGTCTGGGTGTCTTAGGCAGAGAACCAAAGTGACAGAACAACCAGCCAGCCAAATGACAGGAGGGAGAGGCAGGCAGATCTCTGAGTTCGAGGCCAGCCAGGTCTACAGAGTGAGTTCCAGAATAGTTATCACACCAAAAAAGTTCCTAAGGTGCCTTTTGAACCCAAAGATGAATAAGCAAACATAACCAAACCAAAATTCTGGTGAACAATAAAATAGCTATTTTATCTTCTCAAACTGGAAACTGATGCTCAATATATGGAAATATACAAACATTTTGCCCTCTGTATTGTAGATACACTATCTAGAGTACTCAGACAAGCACGCTGTGGCCTGGAGAGTTGGCTCAGGGGTAAGAACATTTGCTGCTTTTACAGAGGACCTGGGTTTCCCAGCACCCACAGGGTGGCTCACAACTATCAGTAACTCCAGTCCCAGGGGATCCAATGTCCTCTTCTGACTGCCATGGATGCCAGGAACTCAACTGCATCCACGTATAAGGAGGCAAAGCATGCATACACATAAAATAATAAATCTAATACAATAGTAAATCCATAGCTATAAAAAATAAGTGTTACTTATGAAAGCAAAAATTAAAAATACCTAATACCCAAGAAGGGCTGCCTAAACTATGGATCAATATATGAAATTATTCAAAATTATGGTTTCAATAACATATCCATATGGAACCCCAGTTATGGACCTCCCTAACCATGGGCATGTAGGACCAGATACTGGCAGGACAGAGAATGTGTTGGAAGGATTGTAAAGTAAAATTTCTTTTTCGTGAGCATAAATTATTTCATGAACGCATACTGGAAGGAAAGGCCTGAATGTTTTCAATGGACTGACAACTCAGAATATTGCATTTATTCTGGCAAACAGAAAGAGCAACTATAAGTTTTAATATTCAGTACTGGCTGTTTCCTTCTTTACCTGTGCTAAGCATTCCTAAGCACACACCCCAACACATGCTTCTGCATTTGGTGTTCTATCCCATGCATTCAAACCTGCAACTTCTCGTCTGCTCACTTCCTTTTACCAAGAATGCACCTACACATATATGCCCCTCTGGGTGTGTTAAATGCAGCCTGATTTGATCTGCACCTATTTCTGGACCTTCCGCATGATTTAAAGTATCATTCCATGGGCTGGAGAAATAGCTCAGCGGTCAAGAGCACTGGCTACTCTTCCAGAGGTCCTGAGTTCAAGTCTCAGCAACCACAAGGTGGCTCACGACCATCTGTACTGAGATCTGGTGCCTCTCTTTTTTGTATGAGTACAGATGCAGAGTACTCATACAAAAAAGAGAGAGAGATAAGAGGTAAAGTAACATTCTGAAGGCCACTGGCAAGCAAACAGACACACAGACAACATAATCAAGAATCAAGATATGCTGAACACACAGAGGCCAGTTCACAAAGCCAGATTTAAATTAGATACACAAATGGAGGAAAGGTAACGGGAGAGGAAGCCTTGCCAGGGCAGTGGGAAGGAAAGACCTGCTCAACCAGAGAAAAACCAAACCTGGTACTGGAAACCTGGCTAACTACTTAGGAGAGAGGAGGGGGAAAAAAAAACAAAAAAACCAAAACCAATGAGGGTATCTGCTGTGGGACAATATTCTTTTTTTTTTTTAAAGATTTATTTATTTATTTCTTATGTATACAACATTCTGCCTCCTATGCCCACACGCCAGAAGAGGGCACCAGACCTCTTTACAGATGGTTGTGAGCCACCATGTGGTTGCTGGGAATTGAACTCAGGACTTCTGGAAGAGCAGCCAGTGATCTTAACCTCTGAGCCATCTCTCCAGCCCGATAATGGTCTTATACCCTGTAAAGTTTTACAAGTTTTACCGGCTTAATAAAAATGATGATTGGCCAGTACCCAGGCAAGAAGTAGAGGCGGGACGAAGAGAACAGGAGAACTCTAGGAAGAGGAAAGACTCAGTCTGCAGTTGTCATCCAGACACAGAGGAAGCAAGATGAGGCATCGCTGATAAAAGGTAACAAGCCACGAGGCTAACACAGACAAATATTATGGGTTAATGTAAGTTATAAGAATTAATAAGAGGGGCTGGAGAGATGGCTCAGTGGTTAAGAGCATTGCCTGCTCTTCTAGCGGTCCTGAGTTCAATTCCCGGCAACCACATGGTGGCTCACAACCATCTGTAATGAGGTCTGGTGCCCTCTTCTNATCAGACATGAGAAGCCCTCTTTTTAGTTGTTGGTCAGGGCTGTCCAGGAGATTCCCAAAACATACAGCTCACTGCTGTTTCCCTGGCTGCCCACCAGAGGTAGAAGGTAAGTGCCTATTGCTGAAGATGCCATGTACTTCAGAAACAGGGCCCAAACACCCCTGGGCTGGAACTGCTCTGAATGCCCTCTCCCTTAGCTCTCATGGTATACCAGAAGGCATCATGCAAGCTTCCAAAGGTCGGAGGCAAGCAACAGTCTTACCCAGCTATGCCGCCGATGAGACAAGCCAACAACCAGCATGCCATGAGGCACAGTAGTGGCATGCACACTTGGGTGGTAACTAGCAGCTCTCTAACTGGACTTAAGATCTGCTCAACAAGAGGGCGACCAGGCCTGGTCCTGAAATCCAAGATAACTACTCACTGATAGTGAAGTCATAGTTAATGGAGGAGAATGTACACCCACTAATGTACTAAGACAGCATAATCCCTAACAATCTATCAACATTTATCCTTCTAACCACAGGTAAGAACAGTCCTCGCCCCTTGTCAAGGAAACTTCTCTTTGCAACAGACTTGAGACCACCAATACAGAACCAATCACATTGCAGATCTGTGAAACCCAGTCCCAATAAATACATCTACAAAACGCTCCCACACCTAAGGCTCAGAGAACATGGTGAACATGGGGGAAGAACGATTTTTAGAGCCAGTGGATCGGGGACTTTGCTGTGAAATTGGGTCTCCTAAGTAACATCAGAAGTTACGGTCATAGTCTCGCCAAAATGACTGCCTAAACATGAGAATGATACCAATGAACAGGCCAAAATGGACAAAGAGAAGCCCACGAGGCCTCAACTCCACACAAAAACACTTTAGGCTACTGAGGAGAGCTAGAGCAAAATAAGTGGTCTTCTCCAATTGGATGTCCAGTGCCAAACCGTCAGCCCTGAAAACATACATACTAGTGACATTAAACAGACTGAGTAAGTTACACTTAGGAATGTCTATGTATGTAATGTATATGCATACAGTAACAAGTGGGAGAAAAGAGGCCACGAATTTAAAGGAGAGAAAGGAAGTGTTTATGGGAGCGTTTGGAGGGAGGAGTGGGGGAGATTTGTTATAATTATAATCTCAAAAATAAAAATTTAAAAGTTGACTATAAAAGAAAAACACTAATATGAACTACCTGGTCTGCAGGACTCCAGGAATCTCACCTTTCTCTTCCACCTCCTCATCATCTGCACCTGTCCTTCCTCTAAGCCGAAGGAAAGGCACTTTTTATTTTATTTTATTTTTTTTAAGACAGGGTCTCTCTATTGTACAGTACTGGCTGCCCGGGAACTCGCTCTGTAGACCAGGCTGGCCCAGACAGAGATCGGCTAGTCTCTGACACACGAGTGACTGAGGCGTGCGCCACCACCTGGCAGAAAGGCTCCTTCTGTTGCTTTTCCAGAACAAGCCCTTCACATGTTCGTGGTACTTGGCACACCGAATAAGTTAAGTCAATGCTTCTTTATAACTTTCAAAAGCACTTGTCCGCTAGTTAAGGGACTGGGTCCGAGGACCGGTATTAATTTGCTTCTCTGCACCCTACAGCTCACAGTTCGCTCTGCTCTCGACAGAAAGAAATAATGGACACAGTGTGACGACTGATGAGCCGTTCTGACTTTCCGTTAAGCCAGCACACATTCCCAGGAAAGGATGCTGGGGGCGCGGAACAGAGTGGGAGCCCTGGGAAGCGGGGGCTCCTGGTCCAACTGGGGTCTGCACACCCGGAGCCTACACAGCTGGACTCCGAACACCATGGGGCTCGTAAGGACAAGCGGGCTTAACACGAACGCACTGGAGGGAACGACAGGACAAACTTTGGGAGGCTCGGCGTCCTACACAGTTCTGAGAGTTAATTATGGAGCTGCAACAAGTGAGTGCGCATGCACAGTTGGCGAGGGAACCGCGAACTGGGAGGAGTTAGAGCGGCTGGGACGCTCCAGGCTGCCGGGCCGGTCCCCGAGTGGGCCTGCGCCTCCCGGCGCTTTCCCGGCTCCCGCCCGTCCCCCCTCGCCGGCCGCTCACCCGTCAGGCCCCACTGCTGTAAGTCCTGATCCTGCACCCGCGTCCGCACCGCCTCGGGTCCGCTCTCGGCTGGCAGCGCCTGCAGGAAACGCGGCAAGTCCCCCGCCATCCCCAGAGAGGCTCCGCCTCGGCCCCGCGCCTTCCTCCCGCGCGCGCGCTCCGGGTGCAGCGCGCCGCCGCCAGAGGGCGCGCTCCCACGTCGCCGAAGCACGCAGGTGCGGAAGACCAGGGCTCTAGCAGTGCGGCTGTGACTAAGGGCACATTGGCTAAAACGCTGGGCTCCGTGGGTAGCTAACAGCAGGCTCCAGGCTTGGTCAGCTCCGCCTCATTTCTTTTCTGTCTCCTTTAAACTTTGGACCAGATTCTGAGCAGCTCTACATGTGTTGTTAAGGGGTCTATGCCCCAAAACCGGTAATACAAGGTGGACTGAAAACACCAACATAAGACTAACTTTTATCTCTCCTAAGATATGCTAGGGACCAGACACTTAGGAAAAGAACCTGGGGATACATTCCTGTAATCTTAAGAAACACAGGGAAGAGTGAGGCAGGAGAATTGAGAGTTCTAACCTGGGCTACATAGGAGGAATGTGTTAATAGATAATAGCTACCGAAGCTCAGTGAGCATCTGCTTGCCCCGAATGCACCAAGCCCTGGGTTTGATCCCCAGGGCCGTATTAGTTGGGCATAATGGCACCTGTAATCCTAGCTCTGGGGAAGTGGGAGCAGGAGGACCAAGGTCATCTCTAGCTACTGGGCAAGTTCAAAACCAGCCTAGGATACATAAAACCTTGTCTTAAAAAATACATAAGTAAGGTGTGAGAGAGCTTTTCCCCCAACAAGATTCCAAGAGTAGCCTTGCAGACAGAATGTCTGTGTGTGGTAAAACTATTGGCCGTGTCCTATGAAGGACCAAAGCTGTTTCCGTATGTATTTCCAGTCCTGTAATGGCTAAGGGAATTGACCTCTGCCGTCATGAAGATGTCTCCAGGAACACTCAGAGCCTGACATGAGGTTATATCAACCAGGTCAAGGAGGCGGTGTCCTGTACGGGATCTCAAATCCCTGCGACCCTCTGGAATCAAGTTACCACCTGGATTACATCTGGGTTAAAGATGAACTCAAAAAGAAGACTGTGTTGTCAGTGGGCACATGCGGACTCCTTTTTACAATACGAAGCAGAGTGTGCCCTTATAGGAAGATAGAGTGCCAACTGTCCCTTACCAGTGAAGCTGAACGCACTTGGCCCCACATATCCAGTAGAGCCTGTATTAAACAAATTCTTTTCTTCGCTGTTGTATTTTTCCATTTGATTTTCGAACAGCTGGATCTGGCTTGTTGAGAGTCCCCCGAATCAGGACTATGGCAGCACTCTGACCATTCATTCTCTTGCCTCCCCAAGTCGCCCGATTGGCTGAACTGTTCACAAAGGGGTGGGCTTGTGAGTGTCTTTGTTATTTCACCAACACTGGTGACTGTCAAGTGCCAGATTCCACCCACGCTGGGGGAAATAGAATTCACTAACAGTCCAAGCTGGAGCCTGAGACACTCTCCACTCACAAGAGCTGGCTTCTTATCTTCAGTGTGAAGCCAAGTGTGAGATATATTGAGAAAGTGGTTGTACATAATAAATACTTAAGCTTGGGTAACCGGAGAGACTCACCTGAATGTCTCAACAATAGCTATCAATGTGATTTGTGATTTGTGTGGCTTTCAGGGTTACTTTGCTCAGACATTGTAGCTTACAGACATCTTCAGGGATTAAACAGAGTTTTAAATTATGTTTAAAAATATGGCCAGATTGTCTTATTTCTCTCACAGCATTCTCTTGGGCAAATGAATCATAAGGGACTTCACGAGGAACAGAGTTCAGGTTTGGGGATGAGAGAGGAGTATTGATTTAAGATGAAACTCAAAGGCCACCTATGTTGGCCTTAAGCATGATTTACTTAGTTGTCCAATGTAGCGCCCCTGAGATGGCTCAGAGGGTAAAGAGGCTTGCCACCCATGCCTGAAGGCCTGCCCCACCCCTGTAACCCACATAGTGGAAGGAGAGAATTGACTCTCGTGGGTTAGCTTCAGACCTACACACACACACACACACACACACACACACACACTCTGTGGTGTATGTTCCTCCCTCAATTCAATAATAAATCATTTAAAAAAGTGTGATCGAAGCTTAGCAAAAGCAAACAACACGGCACAGTTGGGCTAGACTGGGTGTGTAGGACAGCTTTTCTATGTCAGTGCTCCCTCAACACCTTGGGACAGATGTGTGACTTTCAGAGGCTCCTCTAGAAGGACTTGGCACCTGGCCTCCCTGTCTGACTTCACCCTCCAGATTCTAATCTGCTAAAGTGACGCTGTCAACCGCTTGCCACTTAATCAAAAGCACTCTTATTTCTTTCCAACTTGAAGTAATCCAGAGATAAGATGCTAGCTTTAAACTAAGTAGATGGTTGACACCTTGAGCCTGACATTTAAGACACAGCTAAGAAAAATAACTGGGAAGTGCGCATGAGTGTTTTACTCTGGATCTTCTATGAAATGACTCTGTAGAGGGCAAGGTGGAAGCAGAGAGACAAAAGGCCATTACCGAAGCCTCGGCCAGGGGTGGGGGTTTAGTCAGCATGATGCAGGGAGTTGCTACACTGAGCAGGCCAAGGCCATGGGAGTCACAAGGCCGAGAAGTGCAATGGAGGAGGCTGGCTTTGGGGACTCAGTCTGAGTACAGGGTACAAGAAGTCACGTGAAGGAAAGAAGACAAAATGAGGGATTTGGAGACTGTCAAGAGTCCCCATGTGTGCTAGAAGTGCATGAAGCTAAAGGGATTCCCACTCACTGTTGGCGGGAACACAAATTAGCACAATCATGAAAATGATGGGTTCCTCATAGGTCTAGAAATAGAACAGCAATATGATCCAGCAGTTCCCCTACTAATTATATATCTAAAGAGGAGAGAATCAGTTTCAGTTATCTGCACCCCCATGTTTATTGCAGCTGCTTTTTTTTTTTCACAATAGCCAAAATGCGGAATCAGCCTAGGTATCTTTCCATGGATAAATACATAAAGAAAATATGGCATATATACATGCATTGTCTATATACACGTATAACATACAGATAAAGATATCTGTATACATACACATATGTCCTATTTTGAGACGGAGTCTTGCTGTGTAGCCTAGGGTGTACTCACTATGTAGCCTAAGCTGGCTTTGAACTCATGATCTTACCTCTTCAGCTTTCTGAGTGCCAGGATTGCAGTCATGTGCTCCCACACACATGATGGGCTATCACTCAATCGTTAAAAGAATGAAATCCTGTCCTTTAAATAAAATGAATCAGGCACAGAAAGACAAATACTGGACATTCTCAGCTAAATCAGACACTAAACATGCTGGAGGGAGAGAGAGAGAGAAAAGAGAGAGAGAGAGAGAGAGAGAGAGAGAGAGAGAGAGAGCAGAACGGTGACTACTAGAGTGTTTTGAGTACCGTTCTGCTGCTGTGGCAAGACATCAAGACAAGGCAGCTTATGGAAGGGAAGGTTTATTTGGGATTATGTCTCCAGAGGGATGAGAGTCCGCCACCATCATGTGGAGCTCACATCTTGAACCACAAGCACAAAGAGAGAGCAATAGAATGGGTCTTTAAGTTCTCAAAAATCTTTTTGGTGACATACTTCTTGCAACAAGGCCACAACCCCTAAACCTACCCAAACAGCACCACCAGCAGGGAACCAAGTGTTCAAAACCATGAGCCTATGGGGGAGATTCTCATTCTACCCATCACGTAGAGAAAAGATGGAGAAAGGATGGAGGTAGGGCAGTTAGGGAGGGACAGGGGGACAGTGGCATAGGAGGAATCTTAAATGTTCTTTTACACAACAAAGTACCAGTTCCTGACAAAAATTAATACTTCTAATGAAGCAGCCAAAAGAATTATGGATGTTGCTAACTCAAAAGAACTGATGTCTGAGGTGATGGAAATGCAAGGTTACTTGTTCTGACCTTTATCCAATGCATGCATGATTGAAACAGACCAGCCTGTTGGTTACTTTTGCATTATGGTCACGCAACAGTGCCTGCCCCATAGTATGAGCCCTCTGTATTTGTTCAATGTTTGAGCCAGGTGCCTGGAAGCAGTTCCAAATTTAAGATCTGTGTTCATTAAAACTTTGAGAATTAGAGAAGATAAACCTTAAGTAGGCCAGCTAAGGCGCAGAAAGCTTAAGAGAATGGGTTATGAGTTTAGTGAGTCAGCCTTAGCTCGCAGATAAAGTCTGGAACGAATGCTTTTCTGGTTGGTACTCGGGTTATGAAATGATAATATTTATTTTAATTCTTCCTCCGCAGAGGAAGGCAAGCATATGGCGAGCAACTCAATGAGATTAATGGTCACAAAATCACCCCTTTGATAACCATAGCATTTGCCACTACTACCAAAGCAAGCGTGATCAAGCACACAGGTCACCCACAGGTCATGTTTGCTCTCCTCTCTGTCCTTGCTCTGGAGGGTAACAGGGGTTCACTGGCAGCATCGGGGGGGGGGGGCAGACATGGGACTGTGAGGGTTGCAATCACAAAGAGAAGTTTGGACTTCGGATGGGGCAGACATGAGGCTGTTAGGGTTGCAAACCACAGAGAGAAGTTTGGACTTCGGATGATGTCAGTACCCTACAGTGAACTGGAAAGAAAGAGACTTCGGTTTTCTTTCTCAAAAAAAAAAAAAAAAAAAAAAAAAAAAAACTACATTCAGACTTTAATGTAGTTATTATACATCTTTGGCATCAAATAACATATAATACACTGCGGGGGGGGTTGTTTGTTTTGAGACAGCATCTCTATACATGAGCCTGGTTTTCCTGGGTCTTCTATGCAGACCAGGCTGGCCTCAAACTCACAGAGACCCACCTGCCCCTGCCTCATGAATTACAGGCGTGGGTCACCACACCAGCTGACATACAATCTATTTTAATAGTCTGTCTTTTATTTATCCATTGGCAGTTTCACACATGTGTAACAATGTATCTTAATCTTCTCCCCTCCTAGACACCAACAAGACACCTTCTCCTGCCTCCCATACTCCTTTTTGAAACCCACTGAGTCCCATTAGTGCTGCCTGACGGGATGTAGTGACCCTGTTGTAGACCTGGTGCTGGTCTTACTCATGTAACCAGAGTTGCTGTGAGCTCATGAGTGCGGTAACCATACCATGTCCAAAAGACAGCATGTCACAGCACTCTTCCCCATCCTCGGGCCCTTAGATTCTTTCCGCCTCTTCTTCCGTGATGGCCCTTGAGCCTCGCCAGTGGATAGATGGTGATACGAATGTACTCAGCAGTCACTCCACACTCAGACTATGAATTATGAGTCTCTGCCTTGACTGCTGGTCCTGCAGAGGGAAGCTTCTCTAGCCAAGGTTGAGAGGAACACTAACCCCCAAACACAGATGGTTAGAAGGCAGTTTAACAATGTAACCATTTAGCAAGGCAACATTATTCTAGATTTTCCCCTAGGGTTTATGAGATCCCAAGTCACAGACTTTTGACCAAGTGTGAATTCCCTCCCACAGAGCAGGCCTCAAATCCAGTCCACAATCAGTTGGTTCACAAACATCACGCCCCTATTGTACCAGTTGGGCAAATCGTGCCTGGAAGGTCAGTGTTGCAGAAAAACAGCACACAGTAAGTTAAAACCCAGTCATTTGAGAGAATTGGTACTCCTCTTTATACGGGCCCAACACTGGAATGCCACCAAGTAACTGTTTATGAGAATAGCTCAGATATTTTCAGCAGTTCTGAACTGAGATTTTCCTTCGGGATTTTCATTTGCCATGGCAGTGCCTGATCTCTTTTTGCACTTAATGTCTTTGACTCTCATTCCTTGCCATTGGGTTTGTATGCGATGTCACGTGTCCAGTTCACTATAGAGCGGTAAACCATCTTGCGGTCCTCTTCACTGGCCTCCGAAGAGTCTCAGTTTGTTGACTTTGGAATTTAGCTTTTCAAATATATTTCCACACAAAGAGCAGGTTGTCTAAATAATAAGGTTGAACGAAGGCAAAATGGTCCCTAAATGTCTTTGGACACTGGTTTCTCTAACCAAGACCACTAAGCATGGTTCCAAACTTCCTTTCCTTTTTCCTACTTGGCAGGAGCGCAAAGGTATCCTACGCGTTTACCCCATAAAGTCTACATCTTAGGTTTGAAAACTGGACACCTTGTACCCGTGTGCTCATGTTCCTAAGACACAAGCGGAATGTGGAGCCCAGGGTCTGCCCCATTCTCACAAACGTTTGAAAATTCGCTGTGCTAGAATCTTTATAGTCAGACAGTTTTAGGCTCAGGAGATGCCTCTGAAAGCACATGGGACATAGTCATTTCAGTCAGGAGAAACAATGTTACCTATCACATAAGTTGCAAAGTTGATTTATAAGAAACTAAACATGGTGGCCTTCACTGGATCACAGAGGCAAAAATGAAGTTCAATCCCTTTGTGACTTCTGACTGAATCAAGAACCTCAAACAGTATTTCAGGCCCATAATATCCAGAGAGGCAGGACAATCTCTGAGGCCGGCCGGGCGGTGGTGGCATACGCCTTTAATCCCAGCAATCGGGAGGCAGGGACAGGCGGATTTCAGCAGACCCTCAAACAGGAACCCGTTTTCGTCGCGACTTGGCAACAGCGCCACCTGCTGGATAATAGGTAATATGGCAGTTTTTGTTTCTAACGCAACTTCTGCTTTGT